AGAGAGAGAGAGAGAGAGAGAGAGAGATAGATAGATATGCACACCTCGAAAAAAAAAAGAAACGTATGTGTGCCTGTGGGTTTAAAACCACAAGAGACGAATGAACTTAGTCAATCTCACAACGGAGTTAGCACAAGGCCTTGGTATCCAGCTGAGGTTTGGAAAGCACGCATGCCAGCTAGCATCTTCGTGCCCCGGGATCCTTGTAGTTAGGCGTGTCCCCTCCTTCGCCTTTTCACACGCCCAAAATCAATTCCGTGTTCCAGAGTAAAAAAAAAAACCTTCCCGCACCCCGCTTTCCGATACATGGTCCGCGAGAGCTGCACCGCCAACGTCAACCACGACGCTTAAAACATGCAAAATAAGGTGCTACGTATCCTCTTCTTAAGTCGGTCGAGGTGGCTCACGACTACCGTCTCCGGCACCTCAAGCTCTTTCACTGCGTCCGCATGATGATCCTGAATGAGCTCGTTTACCTTGCCCTCAAGTGCCTCAACGCGCTTCAGCAGACAAGTCTCCTTTTCCTCAGCCGCGAGGGAGGCAGTGCTAATTTCAAAGAAAAGAGCAACAGCAAGAATAGAATAGACGATCAGCTCTATAAGAACCTCCGCTCCAGTTTTCACAAGGGGTCCCTCTTCAATGGATGGAGAGTATGCTGAACGAAACGCCTCCCACGAGCTCTGCATCGGGCGACCCAATAATAACCGACCAATCCTTTGCTTTCCTGAGGACCCACTCGGCGCTGTAGTTGTCTGCAACAATGAACGAGACCTCGGAGCCACCAGCAAACCCTTTTCATCTTCGCATGTCTTCGCAGCTGAGCGGCCTAGGCCCGCCATTGACCCATCGCCTCCGCGTGATCTGTCCTCCGCAACCCACTTTTCAACGACGAGAGAGATGCCCAGAGAGAACCGACCAAAGCCGATGCACACAGCACGCGTGACGGTTGCCTTGCGCTGGGCCCGGGAGACAATTGCCTTCACTACCGGCTTCGACAGCTGTCGAATGGCAAGAAAAAAAAACCTGAAGGCAGGAAGAGGCGGCATTCCCTTCCCTCTCCTGCTACGTTCCACTCACCTGCAGTGGTACGCGATCCAAACACACGTTCTCAATTTGAACAATGCAAAGAACAATATGCGTCTCTGCCTTGCACCCACCTTTCGGACTTACTTGCGGCCTACCACCACTGATTACAGCGTGCACAGATAGAAGAAGGGCAAATAGAGAAATATAGAAACAAAGAAGAAAGAGGGAAATAGAAATCAAGCGCCAAAGCGCAAGTAGATAAAATCAGATCACAAGAAGCAAGCATCACATGCACACAACAGAATGAACGAAACGGGTGGAGAAATACCATATTTTAAAAAAAGGAAAAAAAAAAACAATGAAAAAAGTCCTGGCATGGAACATCTTCCTCTCCGCCCTCACAGTCCTGCACGCAAAGGCACAACATGGCTGTACGGCAGTGGTGGTAAGTGCGCGCTTTCCTGCTGGGCACCTGGGAATAGGAGCAAACATTCCAAACGGAAAAAATAAATGTGGGAAAGGGGATAATTGACGGCAGCGGGAAGCCAGTGGGTGTGGAGGAAGCGACGCGGCACACAACCGACACATTTCGTGGAGGAGCGCATACACAACAGCCTCGCAGCAGCGGAGGTGAGGGGGCAAACAAAAAGGGATAATAAAGTAGCAGAGAGGAGGAAAAGGAAACGAAATAAAAAACACCAAAATAAGAAGAATAAAATCCTCCAACAAACAGCGGACTCAGCAGAACCACCAGCCGCCGCAAGCACACACGCACAAACACACACAAGCAAAAATAGAAAAAAAAAGGCGAGTCCATTCATTTGCTTCATTACTCCCACTGTTTCCTCGCCCTTTTATTCTCACCACCCCCTCGCGCTCTCGCTCCCCCCATTATGCCAGGACGGCGGATCTAACCACCGAAGAGAAGGGCAGGGGTGAAGAAACAAAAAGGAAAAAAAAGACTCTCACCAAAAACAACCACAAAAATAAATTGGGTGGATGAGCGCGCAGAGAAATCTCCCATCGCGTAGGCATGCACCCCCCCCCTTTTCTTTTTTTTTCATCCTCCTTTTCATTGTTTGTGCTTCACTGCCAACATTCTCCTACGACCCGTTTTGACTTTACTCCCCGTGTTCCCCACAATCTATTTCCGTTCTTCTCCTTTCCCCGCCTGTGTTCGCTGCAGTCCCCTGCCCCCCTCCCATCCATAATTGCCCTCTTCCCCTCATCCCAGCGTCCATATGTCCCACAAACACCGTACACAAACGGTCGTTGCACCTGTGGAAGCAAAACAAAACTGTTTTCTATAATATACTTCCCCAACCGCTCCGCAAAACAGATGACAAACACACGCAAGCAGCAAAAAAAAAACGAGTTAAAAGCAGACAGGTAAACTCAAGAGAATCGGGAATGAGTCTAAGAAAACGCCATGAATCAAATCAATATGATCTTTCCTGCTTTCCAGTGTCTTTGTGTTTCATTGGAATTATTTTTGTCGGCTTTTTTCGTTGTTTTTTTGCTTTTGTGTCCTCGGCTGCTGCATGCAGCAGCCTCGCACTTCACAGGCATCGTTCGTGTACTCCCTTTCACATGTTGGCTTTCATCGCACCCCACCTCTTATTCCTTCTCTCTACATCATTTCTCTTCCTCTCCCCCTCCACACTTGTCTTCTGCCCTCGTCGCATCCTCTCCATATATCTTCCAGTCTACATGCACACAACAACCTCAACCCTCCTCATGAATTGCCTTGAGGCGTGACTAGCTCCCTCACTTTCTTTTTCCTAAAAGAAGGCTTCCTCCTCTTTTGCATGCCATCCCTCCTTCATCTCTTACTCTTCCTTTGTTCCCTCATTTCCTCAGTTTTTTTTTTTTTTCCTACTGGATTTGAGTCGCACATGATGATAAATACGTGGGAACATTTTTTTTTCTTCATTTGTTGTTGTTGTTGAGTCATCTTCATTTTTTTTTTCCTTTTCAATTATTTCAACTCTATTTTTTCCCCCACAACGTTGCTTTTTTTTTTTTCCTTGCTGTCAGTTTTATGATGGGATGGCACGCCAACGCCATTCTCCAATGCGCCTCCAGCTCTCTGCCCACACTACTCGAGCTCCTCCATGGCGGTGCCGTCGTCGCGTCCCTCCGGGTGGGCGTCCTCTGTCCAGAGCGCGAGGTTGTCACGGAGGAGCTGCATGATGAGGGCGGCCTCCTTGTGCTGCTCCTCGTCGAGCACGCTGGGGTCGCTGAGGGCCTCCTCGAAGGCCTGACGTGCCAGCTGACAGCCGCGGTCCGGGCTCTTGAGGATCTCGTAGTAAAAGACGGAGAAGTTTAGTGCGAGGCCAAGCCGGATTGGGCTCGTGGGCTTAAGCGAGGAGTTGTACTGCATCGCCTGCGTGTACGCCTCCAGCGCCTTGTTCTTCTGCTCCTCTGTGTTTGTTTCAATCTCGGCGTAGTAGCGGTGATAGTCGCCCTTCATCTTGAGGTAGTACACCTTCGTCTCCTCTGTGTCTGCGTTGGGCAGAAGATGCTTATCGATAAGATCCAGTATATCGGAGCAGATTTCACTCAACTCCTTCTCGATCTGCTTCTTGAAGCCCTTGATGAGGGTGACGTTCTTGTCCTTCTTTATATCCTCCTTCTGCTCGAGGGCGGTGATACTGCGCCAACACGCCCGGCGGGCCCCAATAACGTTCTTGTACGCCACTGAGAGTAGGTTGCGCTCCTCCGAAGAGAGCACGGGGCTGTGCTTTACCACGCGCTTCATGCACACAATAATCTCATCATAGCGCTCGCACTGCTCCGCGACCTTCGCCATGATGATAAGCTGCTCGCGCTTCTCAGGGATAATAAATGCAGACATCTGACCTTTTTCCTTTTTCCGGTCACCCGTTTCCTGTCTTCCTTCGTTGCTTCTTGTTTGTTTGTTTGTGTGCGTATATATATATATATATATTATATTATATTATATTATTTGTTTTGTATGCCGTTGAAACAACAAAGGCAAAAAAAAACTTTTTTTTTGCTGCTTCCAACGTGCGGCAGACCAGTGAAGCGACGAGACAGAAAACGTGTGAGAAGGGAGCGGGAGGCGCTGGTGGCGGTGTGCCCATGCACAAATGCCAAGACATCACCAGTTACCGGTGGGGTGCGAGGAACCCGCAAATTATGGTGTCTTCGAGCAGAGACACACAAATACCCACAGAGGGAAAACCAAAGAGAAAGAGAGATAAAGAGAGGGCGCTAACACGGCAACGCAGACGTGCACTGATGAATTTCGCTCCTCACACGCCTTTTCACTGCCTCTCACAATTGTTGTTAATGTCCCCAGAGTGACATTCAACACACCGACTTCTTCGGCGTGCCTTCGCCGTGGGACTGGAGACGTGCCCACATCTTCCACAGAAGACCCAAACCCAAACAAAAACAAAACATACCCCCTCCACACGCTACAAACACATGCAGCACTCGTGTGCTGCGTAAAAGGAGGGGAAATAAGACGTGTCTATGAGTTGTAACACCGGGCGAGCCGATGAGGAGATCCATGCTCAAAAATAAAGCGTATATATTGATATCCACAAAGGTCACACGAGTGATATTCGAAGTGTGAAAGTCAATAAACAAACAAACACACACATGCACACACAAAATACCCTGAGATGGAAAATAAATAAATAAGCGACAGTGCCAAAAAAAAAAAGCAAACGGAAGAGAAGGGACGAAACATCACGTGGCACAATCAAACTCTTTGTCGTGCAGATGGTAGTCTTTCCTCGTGCTTTCCCTCTACTAGCTGACTTCGTGTCACTCGTTTTCTAGCACTCTAAACAGTAAACAAAACAGAGAGGATTGTGGTGAAAGTGGCATACATAATATTTTGGTGGTGCTCTATGCTGAGAGCGCGGGTGTCGTTTCATAGTGATGTGCCTCGCCCACCGTGTACTCTGTGGGTCACGGCGACGTTCACAGAGTATACGGTGGCGAGGTGCCAGTCACGGCGGGAGCTTTCCCCACCCTCCATAACGCACCCTCCCCCCCCATTTGGGATCGAAAACAAAACAAGATAAGGGGGAATGAATAATAATTCAATGATAATAATTAGAAAAAAAAACAAGAGGGATAAACATGTGCATTTGTGCTTCTATAAAACGTGTTCCACCGCCGTGGTGTCGTCAATATCGTCGGTGTTGCCAGCTGCCGTGACGGGTTGAGACTTTTGACGATTTGCTTGCAACTTCGCGGCACGCTCCGTGCACTTGATAAGCTTCCGCATCCGGCGCGCTACAAGCACCGAGTGCTCTAATGTACCCTTCACCGGCGTCACCAACTTCGCTCCTTCACCATCGGTCCCATTCCCCCCATTCAAGGTAGCTCCAGCGAGCAGGTGACTGAGCGAGGCGCCTCTGCGTCGAAGGTTGTAAATAGTGTCGTTGCAGCGCTTCCATGAAGAGACATGAAAGTTCGCGGTTGGCGGCAACTCCTGTACAACAGGAAGCTTGCGATCGAACTCCACGCAACCCTTATTGGCGATCACCATGCTGGGCTGAAAGGATGACATACTAAGCTGATCCGGGTTCCTCACACGACTCATGGCAACATACAACAGGTGCTCACAGGGCCACATGCGGGAGAGCTCAAGGTGCACGCGCCCCACCAAGGTCAGCCCTTGCACCTTATGCACGGTAAAGGCGTAGGCAAGGCACAGCGGCAACGCCACACTACTCAGGCTGTAGTAATTTGTGATTGGCCCACCCCCAACATTGAACTCCCAGGGAGGAACAACAATGGTGCTCCCACTGTGAAACCGCACGACAGGCAACAAGGGGACCTGCATTCCACACTCCGTCATACAGAAAATTCGGTAGCGCTCCACACAGTTGTCCACGCGATCACAGCGAAGAAAACTTGGAATATTCTCAAGAGCGCATTCTACAAAGTCCACCACGGTGCCAATACTTCCGTTCACTAGGCGTGAGGAAAGATTTGCACGCAGCAAGACACGGCACCCCTTCTTGAATGTTACCGGTTGCGCAATCGGATGTTTCTGCATTAATTTTTGAAGGTATTCCTCGATTTCGGGGGTGTGCATGCCGTCACCATTCGGCAGAATCTCCGTCACGGTCGCGCCAAGCTCCAAGTCGTTGATGAGGCCTGCAACCTCCAGGAATCGTTCACGCATTGCATCACGCCATGCGGCACTCTCTCCCTGTGGAAGGCAAACACGCATTGCATGCCCATCCTCATACACGCGGTAGAGGCAAAGCAGTGAGGACTTGGGCATGTCTAGCGTCGCCTGAAGAAGCGAACGCACATGTTTTGAGAACTCTTCTTCGCTGAAGTCAGGCTTCGTGCGCAGCAGGACTGTAGCCGTGGCATCACACTTAAGAGTTGTAATACCCGTCTCTGGCACCAGCATAATGGCGTCCCCGGGAAGTCGCTGTAACTCCCGTTCATTCGCCACGTGAACTTCCTTGTTTGTAGGAAGCAGATTCACCGCCGACTCCACCATTGTTCCTGCGGGGAGCTGTTGCACGGACCGCAAAAGGCCGTCTGAAACAACACCTAGACGCAGTTCCTGTAACGCCTTTGCAAACATGCTGTCCGGTGCCTGTCGGACCTGTGTCTCGAGACGCAGCTTTACAAACGAGTCGTGAAACAGCTTGGAGGTGATAATAGAGGCTTCGTTGATCACCCCAAGCTGTAGAAAGTCCCCACAAAGAATAATTTGTACCCCTCCAAAGGGGATATCAGGCGTCCCCGCCTCCTCGCGCAATGTCCGGTCAAACTCCTCAAACACTCGCTTCGAAAGCATGGATACCTCGTCCACAATAATAACATCGTAGTCTAACAAGTGGCGTTTTCGCAGAAACTCTCCCTGTGAGGAGACACCCAATGTGTGGTGGAATGTGGAGCCGCCAATGTGGCACCCAGCGACCCCGGTTGTGGCTGTCATTGCGACACGTAGGCGTTCCGCCTGCAGTCGATGATTCAGAGCACGTATTAAGACCGTCTTTCCTGTACCTGCACTCCCACCAATGTACATCAGGTGTCCCTTCAGGGCGAGCTCAATCACGTGTTTCTGCTCCTCGTTCAATTCCACCGCCTGCAGATCATCAGTGGGACGGTCTAAGACATCATCGATGTCACCGCTACCCACAGCGTTAATAATGTCAGCATAGCGGTTATGTGCCAAGTTATTAATTTTCACCTGGATCATCTGCTGAATCGCCTCTGCAGGGTCCATGATAGCGCGGTTTCGAAGAATAACACCTAAAGCACGTATGATAGAAACTGGCCAGTGCGCCGGAAGCGTCGCCGTCCCGTTGCGCATTTTTTGCGCGAGCTGGCGAAGCACCTCGGGCTTCTCCAAATATACCTGTCGCTTCTCATTGACACCAAACCCTATGCTCTTAAGGCACAGCATTGATGGGGATAACTCCGAGGTCATACGCCCAGTGAGCGCATTATACACCAGCGTAGACTCCGCAAACTGCTGCATGGTGTTGCTTACCGGTGGCAACATCTCAATCTCTTGTTTTGGCGCCCGAGATGAGGCTTCCAAAAGCCCCACTTCCTCCTGTTTTCCCGCAAGCCGCTTCTGCTTAAGCTGCGAAGACGCTAGGGCAACAGTCTGCAGCGTTGGCTGTGGTAGCTGAAGTTTGTGTTTGTTCCCTGGTTTCAGCTGGACATCTGCGACGCTTTCAACGGCAATCGGGAGTTTAACACGTCGCTTAGCAGCATTTTTAGCCTTTAGTGAAGACGACTTCGGCTGCTTCTCACACATAAAGCGTCGCGCAGTGCACATCGGGTGTATGTCACAGCTGGGAGACGTTGTGGATGGATGACGGAGACACGCATAGCCCTTGTAGCCCGTCAGTACTACTCTCGTCGCGACCCCTGCGCACAGCCATGGCGAGACAAAGCGGCGCAGCATCGCAGTGAGGGTGACGAGGTGGTGAGGCGACGGAGGGCAGACAATTCAATCAAAGCCACAAACAGCAGGAAGACCAACGAAGGGCAATATTTTTTTAGAAAAGAAACGTGTGCCTCAGTGAGAGGGAGGGAGGAGGGAAGTCCTGTTCTATTTTGAAAACGCAGTACTCGTTCCCTTTGTTGTTTGTTTTTGTTTTTGTTTTCCCTTCCGTTTCTAAGCAGCCCCTCTCGGCCTTTCACCTCAAGGCAACCTCTATGCCCTTCGGAAAGAGGGGAACAGCAGCTACAACAGACAACGAAAGGGCAGACGAGATGCGCATGTGTGTATGTGTAAAACCGACACACACAGAAAGAGATAAAGGAAGAGGCAGGAAAAATTATTAAAAGCAGACGAGCATGAAAAAAAAAAAAAACTGAATGCACGCAGTTGGATCGTTAGTAGTGTCATGACATCATCCGTATGAGCTTGTCGATGCGTAAGAAAGACAGGGTTCAATAGTCTAAGCTTTACTTTTCCCCTGAATACAACACAGGAGGAAAACATGTATACTTTAGTTTTCCATGGAGGTATGTATCGGCGTGTTGTTGTTATTATTCTTCTCTCCTTTTTGTTTGTTTGTTTTCCATAACGACCGCAACGAGTTCATTGGGGTAAGCAGCAGCGGGTCCAAGGCGACTCCGCAGCATTGCCCATTAGTCCTCAAATAAACTAACGAAACGGAGGTGCTGAAAGCGCCTTTAGCCCGCCTCACCGCGGTGAAGCAGCGACAGCTGGGACGAGGAGGCCTCCCACACTTTGCCCCGCGTGGCGCCACCCCCACAGCAATAAGTTGGAGAACACACACGAACAAAACAAAACAAAAAAAAAGTTTTGTGGCTTGGACTTGTTCGCGTCCAACCTCCACAAGACTCGGTCATCCCCTCGCGCAAGCCCTCAACAAAAGCAATAAGGCAATACAAACAAACACACCCACTCTATGGTTTCACCCAACGCACCTCCGCAGGCATGAAAGCGGTGTTTGGTTTTGTGCACAAATGCGCACGCAACAAAGTGAAAGGCGGTGGTATTTACTTCCAGATCTTTGGCATGCGGTGGCGCCACCCTCAACGGCCAGCAGGCACAACGCTGACTCGTCTCCTTAAAAAGCCTCTTTGTGCGCCAGCATTGTCGTGTTTCGCGTGTTTCTTCGACATTTGCTTCTGACGGAGAGCCAGCTTGCGTCTACTTGGAACACGGCGCCATGTGGCCTGAAAAAAGTGTGGCAAGACGCGCACCCCCTCAACGCATGGCAGAGACTCATCAAAGAGCAAACACTCCGTGGCGCAGCGAACCAAATCTCTGTGAAATGAAGACACCGTCAGCTGATCCGGGTTCCTCACACGACTCATGGCAACATACAACAGGTGCTCACAGGGCCACATGCGGGAGAGCTCAAGGTGCACGCGCCCCACCAAGGTCAGCCCTTGCACCTTATGCACGGTAAAGGCGTAGGCAAGGCACAGCGGAAACGCCACAATACCCATGTGATAATGGTTTGTATTCGATAATCCCCCAACAAAAAAGGTCGTGGGTGGAACAACGATCACTCTGTCTCCACCAAAGTCCACTTTAGGAGCCAAAGCGACGGGAAAACTGTGCTCATACTGAAGGAACTCGGTGTAACTATCCACGGCCTCTAGCCGCCCAAATTTAGTGAGATACCGCGGTAGATTGTCCAGTTTCAACTCCGTAAACCCCACCACGACGCCAAGGCTGCCGTTCACAAGACCTGGGGAGAGGTTGGTGCGAAGCATTACTTTTACACCCTTCTTGAGTCCAAGCGGTGACATCATGGGGGAGTTCTTCGCGTACTGGGTCAGACTGTACTCGTCGACGTCAGTGTGCAGACCATCAGGTGACGCCACAATTTCCCTCAGGTAGACTCCTAACCCTTGCACCGGGAGCCATGTCTCCAGGTTACGCAGGTGACACGCAAGCTCGTGTTCATCCTTCTCATTTAGTTCATGCGGAATGCGCACCCGGAACACAAAAGCGTCCACAAACAACTTGTAGAGGACAACATGCCGTTGACCTAAAAGCGATATTGTCAGACTGGAGGCATTTGGTACTTTTTGCACAAATTCAAACACATACTGCTCCAACGCCACAAACAATTTATTCTTGTCCAAGGCGGTTGCGTCTCCGTGCTGCACAGCTAGTATATACGTTGCCGTCCATCGGCCAGACAGCGACGGTGACTGGAGCTGAGCTGGAAGCACCACAAGCTCCCCAGGCAACTTCTCCAACTCGGCCTGGTTAATTGCATCAACCTCCTTGTTTGTGGGGAGAAGCTTTACTGCGGATTCTTCATTCGTCATCATGGCCTTCGCACTCTCTCCAGGCGACAAGAACGTGATCGTGTCCTGCAGGTCATGCGGGACGTTACCACGACGCAGTTCCTGTAGCTGTCGCACAAATTGCTCATTCCCCAACTGCCGCACCACCTGTCGCAGTTTAAGCATCGCAAAGTATCGTCGAAACACTGCGGAGTGTACGAGGGGCAGCGAGGCTATTGCACCAAGCTGCAGGAAGTCCCCTGAACAAATCACCTGCACCCCGCCGAAGGGTAAATCCACACTGTTTGCTCGCCGAAGTTGGTACTCGAGCGATTCAAATAGTTCCCTCGACAACATTGATACTTCGTCCACAATAATCACATCAAACGCACGCAATTCGCCCCGACGTGTACATTCGCCATGCATATTCACTCCAAAACAGTGATGCAGCGTCACACCATCAATTCGCGTCGCCGCAATACCGGTCGTTGCCGTCATGGCAACCGAGAGACCCTGACGCACCAGCTCTTGCCTAATCACACGCAGCAGCAGCGACTTGCCCGTACCAGCCCCTCCTCCAATGTATGTGTTGTGTCCTTCAAGAACAAAATCCACAACACGCTGCTGCTCTGCATTCAAATCTTGATACGTAAATAACCGTTCCTCCAGTAACATACTGCTGCTCGAACTGGCCTCATCGCTGGAGGAGCCATCTCGGCTCCCCATGGTGTCATCATTTGATACAACTCCGGCGCCACTGCGGGTTTTGGCTCGTTGGTAGTGTGTACGAAGTAAACACCGAACTTCCTCCACCACCGCCGCTGCCGCCTCTTCTCTCGCTCTTGTGCGTATAAGAACATACTGTACCTGTCGGAAAAGAGAGCTCCGCCACAACGCCGGCCAACTCACCTGCTTCATCAGGAGTTTGCTTCGCAACTCAAGAAGAGCGGCAGGGTCCACCACGTCAAGCTCTTGTGACTCTTGGGAGACACCAATGCCCAACACCACCAAAGCTCGTATGCTCGCGGCGGAGCGTTTCACTACACGGTGCGTAAAAACATTGTACACAAGAGCATCCCCGTCGTGCTGACTTCTCCCCCTTGTAGTCGTCACTGTATTTGGGAAAGCGGAAGGATGGATGCGTGCCAGCTCTTCATGCTGTTTGCTTTCTCCACCTAAAACGGTCATGACTGACGCATTCTGCGCCTGATCAATGCCCTCATCGCATCGCTGTTCGTACATTTGATTTTGGTCATTCTCCTGCCGTGCCCCGCTAAGTGCAGCCGCGGATTCACGAGAACCCAACCGAGTCGTAGTCGAGACCGAGGAACCACCTCCACCTGAGGCGTCGACTAAGTCAGCGGTACAACTGCATGGTCTCAGCCTTCCACCGTTACCGTTGCACGCCGCCCTGCTAACAGGCTTCACAGAGCGCCAAACCTTACATATTAGACGCGGTTTCCGGCTTCTCCCTTCCTGTTTTGTCTTATCCTGCTCCTCCCGCTTATCTTGCCGCTCGAGTGCCTCGGCCCGCGTTGAGGCGGTAAGGCATGTGCTGTCAGCCATACAGTTGTCACGCGTTGCCATGCCTCGGCGCTGGTGCTGCAGAGGCGCATTGCCACACCTCATTCCTAGCGTGAGTTGCTGCTGCTGCCGCCACCCCCACCCGCAGTGACGATGTGTGTGCACACCAACGACCCTGGCCAATGACTCCGCCCCCGATGAAGCGGTAGTGACGTGCGGCGCCCCTCCCTCTGTTAGGGAAGGGACGTACGAGAGGAGGGCAGTGGGGACAAAACACTTCGATACAGGCGACAAACACGGTATTGCAACCTCGCGGCAAATAAGGACGTGTGGCAGGGGGTCGTTAACTCCACGGCGGCCGAAGCACGCCACGCGCGCCAACAGGCTTGTGTATTTTACGGCCGTTGATGCAAGCGGCGACAACTGAGTCATGCACGCAAAATTCCACGTCCTCTTTCTTTTTCGTCCTCTCCTTGTCTCACTCCCTCTCTGTGCTTCCTTTTCCTTTTTTTCCCCACTCACACACTCCTCCCGTACACCCCTTCTATTCCTAACAGCAGGGACTTAAAACAGTCACACACACACACACGTCGTCAGTTTCGTTAATCTTTTCTATGTTCAAATTATTTACCCTTACCTCAGCCAACACACTGTTCCCCCGCCTCTCTCTGTATGTGTGTGTTCACGACTGTGGCTCGGATCCTTCTTCGATGAACTCTCAAAACTATCTATGTAGGGAGGCCTCTATGAAAACCAAATTTTTTTAAAATGCCTTTCCCCGCCTCTTATAATAAATTCTATTTTATGTCCGTAATACGTGTGACGAAATACCTTGTGTAGTCACGAACACCCTTTCTCTGATCTATGTCTCACCGCTGAGGCGCCCAACGGAGCTTCAGCCCTCCCTACCCCCTCCCGCCACTCGCTTTCACCCAAACGCTGTGGTGATTTAAGAAGGGCGGGAGGAGGGTGTCGCTACACCTCCTGTGCTGCCCCCGCCCCAACCTGCGCTCTCTCTTGCCGCTTATCGCTACGGGGCGGTGGTGGTGGTGGTAGCGGTGGCGTGTGATCGTTGTAGCGAAGGTAGAGACACCTCGTCCCTTTTCCTTCCGCTGTTCCTGAGCCGCGTTGGTCTGTGCTCCGCTCGCCGCAGATTCCGCGTAAAATATGAACCCCTTTGAATGGACGGCAAAACCGTCGCCAAACGTCGTTCCCCTTCCGTCGGTCTTCTGCGGCGCCCCCCGTCTGCAGTTGTTGTTTGTGCATGAGGCGCCGCGTTACGTGGCACACAAACACAGAAAAACAAAAGGAAGAAGTAACAGTAAAATCATATGTATGCAAACATCTATTTCTGCAACTCGCCCAAGCAACGACAGCGGTCACACACAAAACAGCACAAAAAGAACTCCGTACACTCTCTCTCTCACACACATACACACGTAAGAAAGGACGCACTTGCGGTGGGAGCGCATCAAAAACAACTCCGCACACACCGGCCTCCGTGAGAAGGCGACTGGCGCAGGCAAAGTGCGGACGGCGAGGTCTTCGACAAGACCCACGGAGGAGCTGGCACCGCGTCCATTTGGGGAGGACCGCGTCGCACAATCAGCAAACCCGCACGAAAAAAAAAAAAAAACATTTACCCCCCAAATTGAAAAACAGAAAAAAAAGGCAAAAAAAAAAAAAAAAAACTAGAAAAAAAGGGGAGAGGGTAAAGACGTTTATCCACGAACTTTTTTTCTTCCCTTTTCTTCCTTCTTCTTCACGCGACCAGCGCACCGGCTTTGCGTCACAAACTGTTTTTCCTGGCAGCCGCTTGCTGCTTGATGAACTCCACCATGTTTGCCGCGTTTTCCAACTGGAGCACAAGCGCGGCATCAACGACTATATTCGGAATAGAGCCGCCAGGATCCGCCGCCGCGCATCGCACGAGGCGAACGCCCCGAACCCCCTGCTCATCCTCCACCTCCTCCGCCAAGACACCAAAGAGAAACACACGTCCTCTACAATACTTGGGCGTTGTTTGAAACTCCTTCGCTGCGTCCTCGCCAACGCACAAAAGCACAGAACCCTCGCACACCCCGTTCATGGGCGGAAGCCCAAGTGCGACGCATTCGGCCAGACCAAAGTAGTACGCGGTCGTTGCACGTGTTACTACCTCACGTGCTGCCACTCCCCACATCGGAGCGTGAAACGTTGTGCGAAGCACCATTACAGCCTCAGAAACCTTCTTAAGCACCACCTGGCTCTCAATGCTCCTGTCCAGCTTTGGTGCAAGACTCAAATCGTTCACAACGGCCTCCACATCGCCCAGTGTCGCACCAGGAATAAATGAAATTGTCCTCATCGCCTTTCTATCTGACCACGGGGTTCTCGTTGTCCAGAGAGTGATACCTTTTTTCTCTGAATGCAACTTCCATTCACGCAGAAACAGCTCTTGTACAAAGCGCCTTGCAATCCGTTCCACCTCCGTGTCAGGTGGAGTCGTTTTGAGAGTCAGCATCCCTGCGTTTTCCCAAGCGTCGGTTTCCTTGTTTGACGTTGCGTTGCCACAAGACGGCGAGTGACGGATGATAGGATCAAAGTCCCTCGCGTTGACATACGGACGCACAATATTTTGCTTGGGACCAATTTTACCCAGCAGCGTCATAATTGCCTCGGCCTTCTCAACTTGCTGTTTGTTAATGTAGGCATGAAATCGATTGGGAATGCGGCCTTTGGGGTCCACGTCGTAGCAGACATGAAGCGTCAGGGAGCCATCTGCCTCCTCAAGACCCATAATAAGGTAAATGTGTGCCGCTGCACGCTCATAGACCTCCGAGGTCGGTGCGGGTGGAAGTGCGACAACAACGTCATCCGCACACGCCACCCCACACTGGGCAAAAGCCAGCAACTCGTTGCCATCGTCGCGTCGCAGGCCAAGTGAATCCTGCTGCGACGGGGTAAAAAGGTTGGCGCAACTCACCCAATTCAGTACCTCTCGGCTGGAAACGCCCCACTGAGCCGCTTTGTAGCGTGTTAAAACCAACAACTCGTTTATGCCCAACATCGCCACGTTTGCCCGTTGGACCAGTAGTTTGTCGTACTGGTACGCGTAGGATGTTTTGGCATCTGTAAACTCTGGATCGTCTAGCAGCAAGTGTTGCAGTGTTCCTACATTCGCGTGTGGGACGTTAGCAATAAAAAGCACGGCTGCATTTTTGGAGTACATACTCTGCCTTTCCAACACCACAGCGCCGTTCGGACGCTTCTCTCGCACCTCCCAACCATTCGACACCGAGGCAAACGCGATGCAGCGAGTGATAATTGATGAAAAGGGTCCTTCCGGAGTCAGTTCATCGCGGAGGGCTTTCTTGCGTGCATCCAGCGCCGGTGGCGCCCTTTCCAGGTTCCCATCCACCACGAATTCCTTTCCCCCTTTTTCACCGTCCAGAAGAGTTTCTTCCTCCAAAATGACCTGTGTCTTGAAGGTGTGATTCTCAACGCTATCAAAAGGCATCTGTGGGTTCACCGCCTCCACGACGTGGAACACGCCGTTGTACATAAGCGATGCAGCCAGCATGGGGAGCAATGCACGCCCAAGCACCTCCACCAAATTCCACTCTGGAAAGAGGAGCGCCACCACGTGTTCCACCATGACAAGGGCAATAAGCGAGGCCACCACATGTCGAGGGCTGCGCCAACCGAGCAGCATTTCCAACCGACAACGTATTCGCCCGCCCCCCGCTAGCTCCCCGCTGTCCATTAATCGAAGGGGATACGTAAATCCAACCAAGAGCGTAATGATACAAAAAAGTGGGAACTGCATCACACCGCACCTCGAAGCAATAACCAAGAAAAACAAATACAGAAGTGTGCCCAAGGGGTAAGTCCAACACCATAAATGCATTATACGAATAAGATAGACATCATAGACATCTAACAGCGGTTCTTGCTGCTTCAGTGGCTCCCGGTTTGGCGCCTCTTCTTCCTCTGGGACTCTGGAGAAGGGAGACAGGGAACAATAATTTCCTCCTTTTAGCAGCTCTCTATCACCGTCTGCTGTGAGCTCCATGTCCACTGTTGGCGTGCCAGCCGGCGTGGTAGAATCCGCGATGTGAGCGTACAGCTTTTTCCAGCTGTTTACCGTTAGGCCGTTACTCATGTCAGACAAGACGTACTTCCTCCATAACTGCGTAATTATTTCCCACTCGCGCATAATAGCTTGAGCATCGTCAGCGACGGCCAGCACCATCCGTGGTGGCGCATTTACCTCCTTTCGAGCCACACTTTGCCTCGCCGTGTCTGCCGCGTAGTCGAGCGGGTCGGATGAGTAAATAATTCGGTACTGCACAAGATCCGTGCTGCGGTATAACAGGCGATGTAAAAATTGTTTGTTTTTCTCGACTCCCTCGTCTGTGCGTTGCTGAACGCAGAGGCGGTCCTCAACACTGCCAACGAGAACTTTCCATGAAAGGTATGAGTAGGAGGAAGTTGGTCTCGAAAGAATCGTCATTTTTTTTTCTTCTTGTTTTGTCCTTTCCGTCCGCCTCGTTCTCACCTTTCCCCCTCTTACACACCTCACCGTTCTTCCCTCCTTGTGTGTATGCTGCTTTGCTTTACTCCTGCCACCCTGTTCCCACCGCAGGCAGAGCGAGATTAATAGAATAATTTAAAAACAAATGAAAAGTGACAAGCAAAATATATTATTATACATGTAATAACAACAAACAAACAAACAAACAAAAAAGATATATAGAAAACAGAGGGACAATACATTGACCCTTGCGCCTTAGGTGGTCAAGGATCCAAAGACAAAATAGAATACAGCAAAAAAACAAGGACGGAATAAAGAAAATACACAAGACTCCGTACCGCGTTCTGCTTCAATTCATTGTACATCACTTCCACCATCATTTCATAACAGTTGGAGTAATGAGATGACGGAAAGAAAACAAAAAAAAAACATGCCACGTGTAAGTACCGTCTAGTGTATACGTATACCGTGCTTGCATGTGTGTGATGTTCTGGAGCAAGTAAAGAAAGGGAAGAGAGCGCAGTGCCTCGCTCCATGTTTATACATCCTTCCTTAACGCTGGCTTCTCTACTGAGAGGATGGCAGCTAAGGCGTCATTGCGCTGGGCCAGTGGTCGCAGGAGGCCACGACGCAAAAATGTTTCCAGCCGTTGATCAAATGGTATCAGTGGATTTGGCTGTTTGAAGTGACACAACACGCAAAGAAATTCAATGAACCCATCATAGAGAAGCACGGCGGTTTCCTTCGATTTTCCTGTAGGCAACACAACATCCGGTACAGGGTCAACAATGCTGACGTTGGTGCGGCGGCGTTGTACCGGCATGTCACGTGGACGGGCATCTTGCTCGCGCCGTTTTTCTTCTGTGACTGCTTCACTGGTTTTCTTAGTGACACTAAAAGACAGAAAAAGTTCATAGATCAAATGCTGTGAGATATCTGTGCTTGTTAGCATTGCATCCCTCAGCATCTGCAGGAGTTGTTCCCGTTCCATCCCTGATACCCCGCAGACCTCCTTGCAGTATGAGTTAAAGAGCACCAACAGAGCCTTGTTCTGGCATATGAGAACCTGCTGAGTCTTCACGTTGGATCGGAGGCTCCGCATAACGCTCGATGGATCATCCGCGGTTTTCGTCAAGAGTATCGGTGCTATGTGCTTAAAGACAAGCTGTGTGAGGGCATCCGCAAGCCACACCACAGATCCTGCTTTCGATGTTATTGCATCACTCACTGGCGGGAACAGTTCATGCGCAAGGAGCACCACCGCCGCAAGAAATTCAGGGAAGTAGAGCACGCTTGTAAACGTTGGAAGCTGCTGCCAGCTCCCCACATCATAGAAGTCAGAGAACAGTCTCTCTTTCCGACTCCCCATCACTGCTTCCGTAACAAGGCAGAATATCCTCGTTAGTTGCTCCAGATCCAGCAGTGAATTTCCCGTATTTTCCGGGTTCACGAGGCCAAGGTCCAACCAAAGAAGGCGCCAACTGCCAAGATCTAAGACCGGCATCGCACACGACTCCGAAAGGCTACCGCGTTGTAAGAAAAGCTGTAAAAGGTCATTACCACATTTTCCAAAGGCGGACACCAACAACGACTTGTCAAGCTCAATAAATTCAGTCTCGCTGTTCCATGTTTCGCCGATCCCGGTACTGTTTTTTGCCAGAGTCCCTGCATTGATGGCCTCACGCACCGCCAACTCTCGCTGCTTGAATATATTCTGGACACATGAAATTTCCATTGAAAACACCCAATCACCGTCGCGCTCCAACCCAGCCTGCAAGGCCGCAGCTTGCGCCCGACGCCCGGTAAAAATGCCACGACTCAGTCCACTATATGTTCGTACTGGCACAAGACAGGAAACGATAATATGCCACCGGTGGGCCTCTAGCGAGCGATGCAGCGCAAGGCCGAGAGATCCAAGTATTTGGGCCAGTTCCGGAGAGTCAAACGCCACGTTTGGCCAAAAGTTGCCACGCAAGATAAAAGGATGTGCCATAGTGTTAATTAGGGGCTTGCAGTAACTCATAAAAAGTTGCCATGGTGTGCAATCTTCTTCCTCCAATTCCGCCAAAAACTTTCGTGCAATGGAGAGTTCCCCTTCTTCCGCCGGCAGTTTTTCTTTGGACGCGGTTTCCTTAAAGGCCGCGGCAATGCTGTCCTGATCTTGTTGCGAATAGGCTCCACCACTGAGGAGATACAACATTGCCTCTCGTTCAATCAATGCACTCTGAGATGCCTTATGGTTGAAGGGATGTGAAAAACGCACGTACAGGAGTGCAATAAAAGTGAGTGTTGCACTACGATCTCCCCGAGACAAGGCGTAGGGGTCAACAATTTCTAGCAACTCCACACGATCTACGGCCGGTAGTGGCACCATATCTGTCGCTTTCAGTGCAGCCTCGCGAAGAACGAGCATGCGCTTTCTTATATACTCATCCCCAAGCTGCTGTGCTCCTTCCATGAGTTCTGTTGCAAACTGCAGCAGCAACGACATACGCCCCGAGGGCTTAAGATTAAGCAGGTCACCAAAACACTCCGAGTAGGTCGGGAAAGGGGTTTCCAGCTGAACGTTCTGCTGCATCAACAGATTTCTTCGGTTCTCCGTGAAGCCCAGGTGCTCGGATGTCTTGCGCTTGAGTTCTGTGCCTGCATAATGTGCCGTAGCCGTTTTGTTTTGGTACCGTGGTAGCGCCAGGTAGAAGAGCAGCCGACTAAATAGCACCCCGTTGCGCACCTCATCTGAAAACAGATGAAATCGAGTTGAGAGGGCGCCCCCCTTCAAGTCGTCAAGAGACTCCAAATCTGCCAGACAGCCGTTTGCCCAGTCACGCAGAATTGTCTGCGCATCAGGCATATCACGCGTAGAGGCAATGACAATCGGTGCAATCTTTCCAAATAGTCGTTGCTCCTCTGTGGTGAGCTCCGCAGAGGCCCGCATCTCCGAGCCACTGTCGTTGCTCTGATCCTCATTATCATCCACGTAGTCTTGTCTCTGAATTCCTGGTGCCGACGCACCTCCACTCGTGCGTGACCCGTAGTAAACGTCCGTCGCTGTTTCCCCCATATGAGGAGGGCCACTATCGTTGCTGAGGCTCGTCCCTGACGTCACCATCTTGCGAGCAATGCGGCACTCATCCGCGTGCTCGGAGGCAGCTGTATGAGCACCACAGATATCCCCAACTATCCGCATGACAGTGCGCTGCCATGGCCTATGCCTCTGGCAACGCAATCGAGATTTGAGCCGCGTGATGCGTCGCTCCAGCTCTCGCACATCCAATTCCCTCTCCTGTAGAAGATTAGAACACTGCAGTCGCTGCTCTTCGGAGCGAAACAGACTCTCCTCGAGCTCGCGTGTTTTACTCTTTAGGCTGTTGTTATCACGCTCCAGTTTTTGCACAAGACGATTCTGAACGGCAATCTCTTGGCGCAAGTAACCACTGATTGTTTCCATCTCCTGCAGTTTTTTAAGCATGGCGTCAAAGGTTTTAAAGGCACGTTTATTGAAGGAGGAGGCATCAACGTCCTCGTCGCTTGCGGGCGAAACGGAAGTGATAAACGTTGTCCCCCGCAATGCTATTTCATCCGGATCTAGATTTTTTTCAGAAACCCCTTCCTTTGGTTCCAGAGCGGAGCCCGAAAGTGGTGCTTCCATGAGTGCTGTCTTAATCAAAAGTGACTTCCGTCGTGGGTTGACTATGGAGACGTCGGAGGCACCCGCATCGTCTGTCGTCGCATTGTCCCCATGCGGCGTCGCGGAGCCTGAGGCCACGGTGGACACAGGCGTCTTGCTTGCCTTCGTGTGCTGCGCCGTCTCGGCAAGCTTCAGGGCGACAAACCTGTTCTTGTTGAGGAGTGTGGCAGGGCAGTTTGCCAACCCTTCGTCCATGCCGGGAAAAAGTGAGATGCTGCGAGCGGCGTGCTGCGCCCCCGAGAAAAATGCATTGTACTTCATGTCGATGATATCCAGCTGGGCGGCGAATCGTCCTGCCTTTGCGGCGAGGCGCCACTCCCCAAAGGACTTCTGCAAGCGTATCACGTTGTAGAGGCGCCGCAACTTCTTCTCCAGAAGCCCCATTGTGTCCTCGCGCCGACGCTGCACAACTATAGCACGCCGCCACGTGCGCCACGCCCAACTCTTTAAAAATTTCTCCATATATCTCACGTCTTCCTTTGCCTGCTTAGTGGACGCAATCATGGCTCGTTGCCGCACAAGATTAAGAGGCAAGGCATACAGCTGCTCAACCTGTTCGCCAAAAGCCCCCGTCCTCGGTAAATGCCGCTCAAATAAGAAAAATTTTTCATATACATGCGGCAACACATATCGAGTGTAAAGCTGCAGTGCCCAAGTCATACCGGGCAGCATGGATTTCGTCTGATCAAGGATGCGCCACAGCAAAGTGACAGCAAATGCGGTTTCAGCCTCGAGCATAGGCTTAAAGCAGCGTTCCTCGGGAATAGATACAACTGGCAGACACAATCCCGTTGAATCATCATCGCTGGAATGTTTTTTTCCAGCCTCAATCAGCTCTAACTGGGATTCTAAAAGGAACCGAACATACTTGGTGCCTAGTGCTCGTGACTCCAGTGGAAGTTCAATGGTTTCCGTCGTGCCTGTCGTGTGACACCGCAGCAGCGACAAGAAATGTTGATGCAAACGACCAAGCACGCGACGAAAGGTTCTTTCATAGAGCTTCAATGGCATTATAATACCACGCTCTGAGCTTGAAAGAAGAAATGCCGAAGACGAAGACTCTCCTCTGCCATTCATAGCGACGTTTTTTTTCGTTCTTACCGTTGCTGGACTCAACTGCATTGGGGCCGACGCCGGTGAAGCTTGTGACTGCATCAGCTCCACGACACACTGCGCTTCCTCCTCAGTAAGAGCCTGCCGGAAGAAAGCCCACAGTGGACTTCGAAGTTCCTCCACAACAGCGGCAATCTCCGCCTCGTCTTGGCGGCACGCATTCCGCGCCTCCCACCACGAGAAGAGTAGTCGATTCGACTCGCGTTCTCTCTTCATCCACTGCGTCGCCTCCAGTGTGGACATTGCAAAACGTTTAGAATAGCCTCCCATGGCGTTTACCCCAGCAGCAATGCCCATGTTGGGTACCATTATTAGTTTCCTCTCGGGGGAAAACTCCTTTTCCTCCTCTGGAAAGATACACGGCTGCCTTGTCTCTGGATCATTGAGAAAAACAGGAAAAACATTGGATTGACAATCTACCGTCACCTTCGCAAGGCGCGCTGCCACTTCCTGCATGAGCTTCGGACGTCCCCATGCCGGTTGACTTGTCGCTGTGGCAGTAGCATTAGTTGTATGTGTTGTTGAGTTCACAGTCGTTGCCATTGTGTCACCAATTCCTGGAAACGCATACTGAGAAGATGACGGCATGTTTCTCAGCCTTGTATCGTTAGTAATTGACGGCGTGCCGCGACCCACGCCCACTTCAGGTTTCAACAGCACCGTTCTCTGCGTCCTGGCTGTCTTGCCGGTTTGCGTGGACGTCACGGGAACGGTGGGGATGAGCGCCTGCGGGCGGCGACAGCTCGTCCCATCGTCCTTCGCTTGTAGCGGTTGCTGTTGCAGCGGACTGCTCATTGATGACACACTTCACCTCAAACATGGATTGAAAGATAAGAAGAAGCAAGAGAAAGTGATGGGGAGGAGTTCATTCACCGGCAGAGGGCACACAAAGGCAGACGCATAGATAGAGACCTACCAAAGGGAGAGGGCAACAGAAAATTGCAGCAAGTTTTCATTCTCCGCTTTTCCGCTGGTTCCTTTTCTTTTGTTTTTTGTTTCTTCTCTCCATGTCTTCCCTCTCGACGAGAAATATTGAGCGCTGCTGCCACCAGTCACGGACGGCTACCTTTGGTAAATTAACGTTGGAAAAAAACCAAAGAGACGCTGCGCGAGGATGTACGCCAGCACAACGACAAACACGGCGACAGAGATACGCAGTAGAAAGTCATCCGTGGACTTTACCGACAACAGCTTCCGCACCAAGCGTTGCGCCACTTCGACCGTTGCGTTAACGTCCTGCAGGGTGCTCTGGAGCAGTTCCAACGAGACTGAAGTCCCTGCCAGTTCGTCAACGGCCCCCTGCACTTTGCGCAGCTCCACATTCAACAGCGAGCGTGTGTGCAGCAGCGAGCGCAAGGCATTGACAGTGTCAGCTGCACCTCCCAACCTATGCGCCTCCGCCTCTGCCGCAGCCACAGCCGCAGGAAGTGCACGACGAATAGCAGTGCGGTGACTCTCCAGCTTCACGAGCAGCGAGACAGGAGCAGCAGTTGAGTGACGCCTGAGTGGGTGCTTCTCCTTGACGGTCGCCAGCAACTTTGCCACACGCTGTGCAGCGGTGACGGTCAGAACGAGTGCGCTATGCGTGCGCTGACCTTGACTCTCCTGGTGAGCCTTCAGGGCACGATTGAGATCGGCCACCGTATCTGCCGCTCGTTGTTCAAGGGCGACCATAAATTCGGCCGACAGTGCCCCATCGTCAGAGCCCGATAGATCCACCATTGCGGCCTAGATCCCCTTTTGCGTTCGGCGTGAGAAAAAAAAAAGGCATGAACGTAGAACCAACACTCAGGGTTGGACTCACATGGGCACTTATTATATGACCTCCTCCCCCCCAAATATATATATTCACCGTCTTCCTCAAACTCTTTTGTCACCGTTCCCTCTCACTTTTCCTCCTCCCCATCCATTCGTCTGTTCGCCAACTCCTTTCATCCTTATGCTTTCCCTCCCTCGAGGGATTCAGCATAAAAACACAGGTGGATCACGCTGGGAAATGCGAGGCGACGGAAGGCAGAGAAGGGCGTGGAGGACCCCAAAAGAGCCAACACCATCAGTCAAGTCCACAGCAAACACGGAATGGCAAGAATAAGAAAAACACACTGTTTCCTCAACTCCTCCACCCCAAAATGCCTCACAAGACCAGTTTCTGAACGGCGTTGGCGGGTTGGAGCCCTTCGAAGACGTTCAGAAGGAGCTCTATGTCATCGCTTGCGTTAATCACACTGCTGGAGTTGGTCGGGGGGCACGAGGAGAAGCCTTCACCAGAGTTTCCCATGCAGTCATGTGTCGTTTCTACCGGGGGCGGCGGTGACGACGACGGCTCGTTTCCGCAGAAATCTGAGGAGGAGGCCGCGGCGAGGCGTTTCTCTAGTACCAGGACCTTACGCCGGAGTTGCTCCAACAGCGTGTGGTCCAGCTGGCGCAGATACGATGCACCTGACCCTGAAACGGATGAATCAGTGGCAAGGGAAGAAATGCACGGCCTCATCTCGGTAGTGCGGCCGAGGTCCACTTCCCGCTGCCTCAGAGGAGAATTCCTGAAGGATCCACATCGTCTGGCGTCTTCCTTTGCCATCACTGAAATTACATGTGAGGCATCTCTTTCTTTCGGCCAAGCCCGTGATGCGGGAATGATATGGTCCACACTCACCCTACTCTCTTTTTCTTTCAACCGCACAGAGGAAGAACACATGCGATGGTGTTGGTGGTTATCCGCATCAAGTGCTTGTCGCAATAATATGCGTCGGTCCTGCAGAAGCCGCTGACGTTCCTGCATGACACGAGAAATCTCCTTATCCAAAGAGCGTATCACGTGCTTGCGGGTGACACGCCGAAGCCGCTCCACCAACCCCTGCGCCAAACATTCATCCATGTACCGCATGTACGCCTCCAGCAGCTGTACTGTATAGTCCTCCACACGGCGCCGCCAGCCCTTTGGCAGGCTGTGCCTGTTGTTACATTTCCTCAAGGTATTTGGTGAGTTGCTCTCAACAACTGCCTTCGCGCATTCATGCCGTCTCAGAGCATGCCCCTCAGACGATAATTGTTCCCCACGACCCTCTCCAGCCACGTCTGCGGCGGGAAGACCAACCGACCCAGTAAGGATGGCCCTCAGTTGATTGATCTCGTCTTGCTGCGCCAAGGCCTGAGCTGTTAACACCTCTATGACGTGCTCGTAGCGGCTCATCATCTCGTGTGCAGTTTCCCTCGTGTCACAACTACTACAGTCACCATCAGACCCTGCTCAGGGTGCCCCCCAACGGTGTGGTTTCAACATTCATTGCTGCATGGCGTGTCACGAGGTGTGGGATGTGCAAATGCGCATCGCTTGGCAGGGTCATGCATACCACCTTCGGGCTCTTTACCCAGCAGACACACACATCAAAACACAAACAAACAAGCAACAACAAGCATAAGTGGAATACATGCAGGAACGTGATCATGACAAGGCACACACACGCACTCGTATGTGAGAGAAGAAAAGATGCATGAGGGCAAAACGTTGGATAAGCAAACAAACAAAACGAAACCAACGACAAAAATCACCACGGCGCCCTCCCCAAAATAAGGGCAAACAACAATAACTAGTAGATTCTGTATGCATCTACACAGTGGTTTTACCGCCACACAACAATACGCTTGTCCTCTCCAATGGAGGCAAGCATCGGCGTCGAGTCACAAAGCGTCCACACAACACTGTGAACTGCCATCGTGTGCCCTCCCAAAAGCTTTTCTTCGAGCACGCGACCGGTATCGAGTGAAACAAAGAGAATTGCCCCATGCAGATTGCCCAAGGCGCAGAGCCTTCCGTCTGGACTTACCGCAAGGCGTGCGAGGTTTGTTGAGCAACGCAACCCACTATCTTCAATGCGAAGGAACTCACGGGACATATCTCGTACATCACGCACACAGACAGAGCCGTCGCGCCCGAGTGAAACGCACCGCTGACCACTGGGGTCTAAACGAACACATGTGACGCCCTTCTGATGAGCGTGTTTGATCTCTGTGCCGTGATCATTTGTGCGGCGGTCCCAGACCCAGATGCTTCCGTTGTAGTGCGCTGAAAGAATGAAGGAACCACCCACGCAAACGTCATTGCAACTACTACAACACATGATGGTTCGCTGACACGACCCGTTTCGAACATCCCAAAGTTTGATGGTACGATCTGAACTCGCGGTGAATGCGGTGTGAGCAGACGGGGAAAGATACGCCGCCACCACCTTCTCACGATGTCCCGTCAGCTCCACAGTGCGCAGAGCATGCATGTCCCAAAATCGGGCAATACCATCGGCGCAACCGGAAAGTAAGTAATGCGAGCTGCTGTCCACGCAGAGTGGCACGTCTGTGCTGGGATGACTGCGCAGCAGTTTCCCGGTACTATACTCCCAATGACGAATCATTCGATCCCCACCGGCGGAGACAAGTAGGTTTCCGCTATCCGCAGCACATATCGCGTACAACAATCGATCGCCGTGCGCTTGATTGATGGCGTATGCCTGACTACTCGCGACTGCAACCTCCAACGCACTAGCGACATCCCGTCGGATGGCTGTAGGGTCCCTCGGCGTGTGATGCTTGCAAACTAAGTTGCTCACCACTGGGTCTACATACATCGATCCCGCGGGTCCACCGCTTTCCTCCCGTTTTTTCCGCCGCATCTGATTCAGCTTATCCTCGTACTCCAAAATGGTGTCCTGCATCCGCGCCATCGTGTCCTTGGCGGCAAGCAGCTCCTTGATGCAGCGATCCCGTTCGCTGATAAGCGTGTTCAGTTTTGGCCTAACCACGTTATTCTCCTGTTTGAGTGCGGCGTAATCATTTCTTAGGATCCGTAATACGTTTTCGTGTTGTGCCTCTTGCTCCTTCAACTGACTTACCTCTCCCTGCAGCGCCTTGTTCTCCTCGGCGAGGCGCTTGGCCTCGTAAAGACTTTTGTAGTAATCCTTCTCCCTTGTGATACTCTCCTGCAGCTGTTTCTGCAGCTCCTCTACCCTCGCCTCCAGTTCTTCTCCACGAGCTGCGGAGTTAATGGCACCGGCTGACGCAAGCTCCAGCGTCCGCACGTACTGCAATGGACTCTTGCACTGCTCGTCCAGCCTCGCGTTCTCCTCGACGAGCTCGCGGACGCGCTGCTGCACCCGCAGAAGCTGATTCTGTGTGATGTGATGGGCATTAAACACACTCTCCGTGGGCTGAATCTCCGCAGCATTGCGTCGAAGAACCTGCCTGTCAATCACGGCAACCCACGGCTTCATCAGTCGCGGCGCTACGGGCCAACTCCAATCGCCGGCGGTGTAAGGAATAACTCGCCTGGTTGCCGGGCCCCAAATCTCACCCAAGACGGCCGCCAGGCCAAACCAAGCGATGTAGCCACGGAAGAAAACGCACTTTGGTTTTTATTGTGCTCCAAGAGAAAAAATAATAAAATAAATGGAGAGCAAAATCAGTCGGGATGCAAGTGAAACCATAATGGAGGTCCCCGCTCCCACTCCGATTCAGTTCCGCTGCAGGAAGAGGCAAAGCGCAATGAAAGGACAAGGGTGCTCTGACCAAAAAAAAAAAAAACTAAAAAAGACCAAAAATACAAATACACTTAATTTCATTGCACACTCCTCGTCTTTCCGGCACCCCACGCAATATATTCCCACCCTTTTTTGTATTAGTTTTACTTCTCCCTCTTGTCTCTCCAAGCGCCTACGACTCTGGAAATCCCCTCCCTCCCCATTCATGAGTGAAGAATACACTCCTTCTTGTTCCAGTACCTCAGGCTTCTCGTTCTTTTTTTTTTTTTGCTTGCTTGCCTCTTGTGTGCGCATGTGGGGGAAAAAAGAGGGATAGTGGGGAACCATCTCTCCTGTTCTTCACGCACCATCGGGGCGGCTAATTACATGCAACACCGGAGCGGGCGAGCTTCCGCAACTCAGCTACTGCCAAAGCAGGCTCCAACACACGCACGTTTCTTGCCTCTCTCAGTGCAGCCTCAAGCGCCAGCTGCAGTTTGTCTGCCTCTGCGTACAACATTTTCTCCTTCTCAAACCCATCTATAATAATTTTGGCGACATTTGAGCCCAAGCCTACTACGATGACGTTCACAGAAAAGAGCTTAGAGGCGTTGGGCCGTGCGGGATGCGCCGCAAGAGCATCCTTTGCAGGCGACGAAAACAGATGGCCCCCCCGCCGCACTTAAGGGCCGCTGCCGTGATGGTGGCGACCAGAGGTGCCGCTCCTCTGGCATGAGGCTGAGACTGTGACTGCGGGCAAGTACGCGTTGGGTTCTGTGCAGGTGGTCAACGGGCTCATCGCGGCTCAATTGCGCACTGACATCGTCACTCAGCATTGCTGACGGCGGCACTAGGATGCACACAGTGAGTGGTAGACACACACACACAGTGACGCGTCACCTCACGCCTTGCTAGCCATGGAGAACAGCGGCAGGGGGAAGCGTCACAGCCCCCCACCGAAGAAAACAAGTGCAGGTAGAGATAATAAGGAACAGTACTGAGAGGGCGGGAGCAGGTGGCGCAACACATTATGCCATTGGGAGATTTCTATATGCACCTGCTAGTGGTCCCTCGGCGACTGAACGTGTGGGCTTTCCTTTAGGTCCCGTCCTACTTACTGCTGTGTACGCGCGGCGACAAACCGCCGGGAAAGATACTGTGTGCGTTGAAGAAAAGGGGGGAGGGAAAAAAGCAAAGCTGAAATGAAAAAACAACAACAACAAGAAACAAGAAACAACAACAAAACACGCGTGGTTCTTGGCGTTCAATTTAGGCATCTACGTGAGTTTGTACGCCTAGCAGTGACCGCGGGTGTTAGCGAGTAGGCATACTCCCTTTCCGCAAACAAACGTGTGGCAATAACACATGACGCGGCAGAGACCCGAAAAGGCGAAGAAAAAAGAAGGAGAGATGAACGTCAATCAAATAACATACTCGCGCCTACCTAACCATTCCTCTCTCCCTCCCATAATTTCTCCCCTTCCTTCTCCTGCCCCTGCCCACTAGCTTGTTTTCATTACTGCTGCTTTTGGGAATGGGACTTTTTCTGTGTGTTTGCTCGTTTGATTCTCCTTCGCCTTATCCCATCCCTTTCTCTTTGCTTGCTTCTTTGTTTCCTCGCACCTAGACTCCTTCCGTCGGTTATTGACATTTCCCCGACATCATCCCCCCTCACTCCTCCTCGGCAAGACGCCTCTTCCTGGCTGCCTCCTCCTCACGCTCCTTCTCTACCTCGACAACAAACATGTGCAGCTCCTCATCGTTCATGTACACCGCCTTCTTCTTCTCAAGCACCACCAACTCAATGTTCTTCGACCCGCTCTCCACCGCCTCCAAGAGGGCTTTAATGGCGAAGTGCACGCACTGGTCGCGGGTCATGTCGTCCTGGTAGCCCTTCTCCATGAACTCCAGCACTGTCTTGTCGTTGCGTCCAATGGCCACCGCTCGCCAGGCGGAACACATGCCGGAGGGATCCGTCTTCCACAGCTGCGGCTGCCCGTTCTCGTTAAAGCCGCCGATGATAGTCGAGACACCATACGGACGACTTCCACTGGACTGCGTCGACTTCTGCTGCACCTTTGCCACGTAGCGGACGAGGAAGTCAACGTCCACGGCATCCTCGTAGTTCAAACGAAAGCGTTGACACTCCAGCTGCGCGTGGTTCACAAGCACGCGGGCGTCGGCGGAGAGGCCGGCGAAGGCAAGGTAAATATGCTCATCCAGCTTGTATATTTTGCGAATCGTACGACTGTCCTGCAATTTTTGCACTGACTTTTTCTCCACGGCAAAGATGATACTATCCTTTCCACGCACCCCCACCGCACAGAGGCCCTTGCGCACCGCCTCCTGCGCATACTCGACCTGAAAGAGGTGCCCATCGGGACTAAACACGGTAATGGCGCGGTCGTAGCTCATTCTCCTTGTTTTCTTATCTGTGTGTGATCGCTTTGCTGTTCCTTTTTTTTTCTTTTCGTTCCTCCGCTTTGCTTACCCCTTTGGAGTGGAAAATACAAAATGAAGAAAAGAAAGACAGGATAGACCCCGTGCGCAGTGGAGCAGGGGACAGTACAAACACACCCACCCGCACAAGGAGTGCGGGCACCCCACATACTGACACACACAAGCTTTCTCTCTCTTTCTCTCTTTCCGCGAGCACCGCGTCAGCAATAGACAAATGTTGGGAGCTTCACGTGACCAAGGGGATCCACACCAAACATCGCAGCATCTTCAAACAGAAGCACGGCATCCTCGTCAAGTGGTTGAGCTCGCGTCAAACGCATCCCGTCAAATTCACATTCAAAGCAACAACCTGCAGCTGCAGAGCTTTTCACAAGTTGAAGTACACGCGTCACCCGTGGTTGAATCTCTCCTTGTACTCCCAATGCGTCTCGGGGCTCCAGCAGACACTGTGATAAGCGAAGACGCGTATTCACGGAGTGAAGAAACGAGTGGCCAAGTTCATCTCCTGAGGCTGTCGCGATCACAACGGCCACGCAGAACTCCTGTGCAAGGCTCTTTAGTACGCTCATTAGTTCTGCCACGGCCTCGTGACGCTCCTTCACCTCATTTTCCACACCCGGAAAGCTGCGGCGCACTAAAACGGTGAAGTTGTCGATCACCACAAGCCGTAGATCCGTCTGACGTGCCACGTGGCCTCGTAGGGCTGGAAGATACTCTCGCAGCTGTGCAAGGGTGGGGCAAATTGTCACCGCCACATTGCAAAGGACATTTCCTACGTTTTCGCCGCCCTCGTCACCACTGCAGCTGCGTGCGTCCAGGTGCCACTGCAAAACTTCCGCTGCCACTGCTGCTGGAAACGCAGAAAGATCCGTGGTGATCCACAGCGTGCGGACCCTCCTGCCATCCGTCTTTGGGTGGGTTGCGGCGTGCATTGCAAGGCTAAGCGCAAGCGCCGTCTTGCCGGCCCCCGCGGCCCCTGTGACCTCCGTAATCAGACCGCACCCCACACCACCCCTCAGGGCGCCATCCAAACCCTGCTGTCCGGTAGAAATGAAGTGACGGTGGCGGCAAGAAAGAACACTGGCCACAGACGTGGGAGAAGCCAGGAAGTCACTTTGGCGCAAAAGAGCAGCACTGACGTGGCCGTAGAGGGCGTTTACATCATCGAGCGACAAATCCATCTGTTGGGCGAGCAAAACCTCTGGCTGCAGTAGCACCGCCGTAAGGAGCGCGCAGGTGTCGAAGGCCGTCGCCGTCGTCGTCATCCCCTTCTGCCGCAACATGAGACGAAGTCGCTCCGCGTGTTCAACGGGAATTCCCTCCAACAACGGACACGCAACAAAACCCTCGGGTATTGGGACGGCAGCGGTATCGCTCTTCTCCGACGCGCCCTCACCGTTGGAGTGCATCGCCCCAGAAATAAAGCAGCCGCGCCACAAACGTCAAAACGATATATATTATGTAATGCTCTTCGCAGCCCTCAGAGCCAATAACGAGGAGCCAAAGACAGCGGAAAAGAAAAGAAAAAAAAGCGAGTAAAGTACACAACCGATTCAGACCACTCTTTCATCTTTTATATATTATAATGAAGTTTTTGCTCGGGTCTACTACTCTCGCTTGCGCCCATGTGGGCGTATGCAAACTGATGAAGGACCAGGCGTGCCCCCCTGCACGTTCTGTGCACCGTTACACGTCACTTGGGACGTGACATCTCTTTAAACACATCATTCATCCGCCGAGCTAAGTCAATGTCTTTCTGTGTGACACGATCCCCGGCGTCATGTGTGGTGAGTCGCACATGAAGCTTATTGTACGTGTTCGTCCAGCTTGGGTGGTGCCCTGCTGTCTCACAGTCGGCAGCAACAGCATTCATGAAATCCATCGCCTGCTTAAAGTTTTGAAACTCAAAATCATTGCAGATCGCGCTCTTGTTGATGTTGCCCTCCATGCGCCACCCCGCAGTGGACTGCAGCGCTTGCGTGATGGCAGGCTGCGAGAGCGGCAGCACCCGCGCACATAGCAGCGACATCCGCCGCATTTCTCTTACAGAAACACTCCCCCCCCCCTCGCCGAGAAAAGAAAAAGTCCAAAACAAAAGGAGGGTGCAAAAAAAAAAAAAGGATATCTCGCTAAGTAAAGTGAGGGTGTAAGGAAAATAACAATAATAACAATAAAAACTCACCATCATCAACATGTGGTGACAGCGCACCTCACCCACAGCGCCTCAGTAACCTGCTGGCAGACAGACGCAGACGCAAAAACAAAAAGCAAAGCAGAGCAAACGGATGCCGCTCCTCATCTTCCTCCCAACTCGGCGTTACTGAACCACCTTGCTCTGTGTGAGCCCCTGCCTCAGTTCCAGCAGACGTTTTTTATCTTCCTGCAGACGACACAGGAGCGCCTCCATCTGCCGCTTCTGCGCCTCCAGATCCAGCATGCGCTGCTCCAGTTGACTTACAACTGCATGCAGCGACTCGTTCTTCTCCACAACCATCCGAGCTGAAAGTAAAGATAGATCCAACCAACCTCTCTCACCTCGTTGCCGGTAATAGGAAAATCCAACCTTTCTTGTTCCTTTTCGGCTATATGTGTGAGTACACGGGCGTGCGCACCCCCCTTATCTCGCTTCAAAAATAAGAGTACGGGATACAGAATGAGAACAATAGCAAAGGAGTTGTGTTGGAGTGGAAGTGAGTACAGGAATGAGTATCCACAAAGTAACGACAATATTTTTTTTTTCCATTTTGCGAAGAGCAATGCACGCATCGCCGTGGTGCCAGACTCCAAAACCGAGCACAAAGTAAAATACGGGCAGAAAGAGAGGGGGCCACATCTAAGCACCCTCTTCAGATAGCAAAGCGCAATACATTTAAGGAATGCCCAATGGAAACACGTACAGATATTCCTTGCTTAATAGTTGCAGTGATGGCGTTACATTCGCTCTTTGGCAACACCTCGACCGGGATCTGTACAGTGCCCCCTAAAGCTAGAGGGAGCTTCGAGTTTGCAATAAGCAGGCCCAGGGCGCCGTTGTTCTGGGCCACAACAGCTTGATCAACGGCGTTGCATTTGTTCTCCAGGGACAAGACGATGGCCCCTTTCCAGTTACCGATGCTGGTCTTGTTGGAACATAGTTCCATCCCACTTGCAAGAACAACATCCCCACAGTAATCCTTGCCGCTCCACTGCGGGGGACCGACAGGCAGTTTAAACCCTGTGAATTGCTTACGCGCAAGAAAAGCAGGGCGGTGCACTTCCAACGCCGTCACGTTCGCCGCGACAAGCGAAAGGGTCACCACGAGAAAAAACAGAAATCGAGGGCCCATAAAACAGGTCATGTGCCCCCTTTTTTTTTTTTGCTCCTCGTGCGTGTGCGTCCCACCCTCTCACTTCCTCTGTGTGATGTTGCTGTTCTTTTCAAATCCCCGGCGCCATACAGCCCCGGACCCACCCACACAGACATGGAGGAAGACAGACAGAAATACAGCCGGACAGAACGCGAGCAGAAAGGACGCGATGGCAGCCACCGACGCGACGGTGGCGGAGGGAGTACCAGAGGCAAAAAGCAGAACAACGCCAATCACAAAAAAAAAAGCAAAAAAAAAAGATTATGCGTATTAAATGGGGCGCCTTACAGCGCCCACCACACCTCGCACTCTCGAAGAAGGCTTGGAAGTCCCCCGATGCGCTCAGCGCCAGGCACCTCCTTTCCCCTTCCTTTTTTCTCGTTTTCTTGCACTTCAGCCCATGTTGCCGTGGAGTGTGGCAGACGACGCACAGAAGAGCAGAGACGCTCGCGGGCAGACTCGTTAGTCAAAACAATGACGAGGGGCAGGGGAGGGAGGGGGAACAAACAAATGGTGTACAACACAAACACTACAGCCGCAACAAAACCTACTTGACACGACGCAACACAAAAATAAAAAAAAACAAGGAAAAAAAATTAACACACTGCGACACCCCCTCCCTTATGCCTCTTCTTCTTCTTTCCCCCATGCATCACAAACAACGCAACAGCACATACGCACCGAACAGCGGGACGCAGAGACAAAAAAGTTGTCAAAATAATAATGCACCTCCCTTCAAAAGAAGTTTTTTTTTATGTTAAAAAAAAACACGGCAGACGGTTGCACTTTTTCCCCCTTTCTTCCTCTACATACCCTCTGCCGGCCATATTTTCAACACTTTCAGAGAAGTTCGTTTGAATTCTCGGCACGTTAGACTTCTTCCTTTTTGTTGATCTTGCGCAGGTTGCCCCACATGTAATGTGACTCGTCAATAACCTTCATCGCAAACACCTTGTCCTTGAACTCCCCGTTAAAGACAAACTTGTTCTCCACACCTCCCTGACAGATTTTGTACACACGAAACCACTCGTGGATGGCGTCTAGGCACCCTGGGAGAAACTTTGGCACGTCGTGGATGTCCTTCAGAAAGCGGCAGATGGGGTCGTTGTGCGAGATGCAGATGACCTTCCAATCCATCTGCCCGTCATCAATCATCCCGAGGATTCCAAGCACCTTTACGGCCCCCACCTGCCCAACCCTGAACTGCGTCATGCCGATCTCAATGGCATCGATCGGGTCATTGTCACCCTCGTAGCCACCCTCAAAGACAACCTCGGTACTCTCCCACGTCTGCGGCAGGGCTCCGTAGTTCCACATCATATCACCATGTTTGTAGAACCGCGGGACACCGTTCTTGACGTCCTGCGTGATGGGGTTAAACGGCTCCCCTGTGGCAATTTCAAACTTCGCACGCGTCCACTTTGGGATTTCACAGATAAAATTGTAGCGGTTCATAGGCAGCGATGCAGGCTTTGTGCGCACCAAGTCCCGCACGTAGAGGGGAATGTCGTGCCAAGGTGACACCTGCCGCTCCTTCCCCGTCTCTACGTCTCTGAAGTAGTACAGGACCCGGTAGCTCGGCGTGTACAGCTCGCCTTCCTCCCTTGTCAAGAGCTGCTGCTGGTGATAGGGCACAGCAAAATCCAGCGAAACCATAGAGAAGCAATTTTTTTTTGCAGAGAGCTCCGAGTGTGAGCACCACCACTTCCAGAACTTTTCAAACGTGATGTGGCCATCGATGGCATCAATCTCACTTTTCATCTGCTTCATCTCGTCCTCATTCATATCACGGCCCAGGTACCGACACATGTGCTCAACCTTGCTTTCCTCCAGGTACCCCAACTGTGTCACATCGAAGGCAGAAAACATGCGAGCCATGATCTTTTTTTCCATCGACAAAGTGAACTCGTCCTTGGCGTAGGCGGCAAGGTCAAACTCACTTACGTGCCGACTGCACGCCTCTGGTAACTCCTTCACACACTTCCGGGAATTGCTGAGACCCGTACCAAGGTAGGTGTTGACCACGTGTAAGGACCCCACCTCTGCCATGGTTTTCGGAGAGTAGAGGACCGCTTCCTTCTCAGCCTTGTTCTCTGCCGCCGGATTTCCAAACATTATAAGCTTCCTTGGCAAACGTACACAGAGCGGAAACAAAGTCGATTGAAGCATTACAACTAGATAACGGCAAAAACACACATCGATAAAAAAAACACCTCATTATATATATATGGTGACTTGTCACACACACTGCTTCGCTATGCTGAGCGCTGCCCTCATGTGTGAGAGTGCCCGCCGCCGCGCCTCCACCTCGTTCGCAAGGTGGTCACGCAGTTCCAGACGCACACACTGCGCGTTTTTACTGCGGATGCCTCTCTGTAGCTCTGCAATGGGGTGCGCCAGAGCCTCAATTTGTCTGAAAGCTGTGGCAGACGCCTCCACTGATGAAGTTGTGGTTCCAGATGCCTCGGCAATCTCCACGACTAACCGCATGTACTGCATCCGTATGGCATGCACCAGC